CCGGGCCGGGAACCATCGGAAGGCCTGGTCACAGCCTAACCAGCGGCAGCCGCTGAGCAAGGTGCGCCTCTGTTCCTGCCCCTCTGTTCCGGTAGTCGCGGTCTTCCCGTGCCTATCGGGGGGCTGTCCCCACACCTCGGCTGTCCCCACACCTCGGCGTCCCGCTTTTGGCGGGGGCTTGGGGGGGGCTTGGCCGGATTCCCTTGTCTGCGGCGCTGGGACTCCTCCTCGTCTCTGGGTGGCGCTGTCTCTGTGCTCCATCTTGGTTGGACACCTCGGCGCGTCCTGGATCACGACATCTCCGCGCCATTAAGGGACACCACCGTACTCCATCTCGCGGAAACTCCAGGAGCGGCCTGGCTGGGCTCCCCCTATCGAAGTCAGAGTGAACCTAACCAATAGAGCAGACCATCTGGAGCGCAGCAGTTCCCCTGTGACCTCCGCTCCGGTCATTACTAAAGGATACCACCACCTTGAGGCTGGAAGTTCATCGCTTGGTTGGCTGGAGTCATAGCTGCTGTTACAGAGTTACCATCAGCCGCCTTCTTTGAGATACCATCTTTTATTGTCATCCTCATCTATTGCCTCCTATCCGGAAGAAACGTTACCAATTCAACATCATATTATCAACTAGCATCAGATTCTAGTAGCCATTGGAGCCCTTATCCACCATTCCTTGTAAAGTTCTATCGTCTTATGGATTCTCATAAGATCTCTACCCTTGACTCTGCCCTATGTTGATGCATTGGGGGGAGGGGGGTTAAATGGGAATTCAGTTTTTAACTATAATCGAGGATTGACTATACAAATACATCGTGTTGTACTGTTGCCACATTATTATTATTACGACCATCTTGGCCAACGCTGCTAATTCTCCGTCTGCCAGCACTTTAAGCTACTAGGTATAATCTGCACTTTAGACCTTGATACCTCAATGCTAGGTGCACTTTAACCCTTGCACTTTAATGCCATTAAGCCTCCATTACAGCACTTTAACTGTTACCAACGGGTTAGATTAAAGCACTTTATTGCATCTTGCACTTTAACACCTGCTAATACTTGAAGCTAGTGTCTTGTACCAACGCTGCCCCAGCGCTGTTCATCCATGTCGGCTCTCATCCTTTGGTATTTGTTAACAGCATTGTTGATAAACTGGGAAGGGAATAGAGGGTGGAGTGGGGGGCTAGATCCTAGAAATAGCATTGCAAGGTTAGGAAAGGGCTGGAAGGAGGTTGTATGGCACAAAGAGAAGTCATTAAAACAAATAATTTGGAAAGAACTATGGGATGAAGCCACAAAATTGAAGTGCAATATGGACGAAGAGAGGTATTCCATTGGCCGAGGGGTCCCCATAGAAACCATAACGGGGAGGCGGAGATGCGGGAAAGGGAGACCGCCAATTCGGCCTAGAGATAACGGAAAATTTAAAATAACTCAAATTCGGCCTAGGGATAGAAAAAGAAATTTAAGAACTTGTAATCGGTCTCCTGACATGGCAAGTGGGTGTACCAAGGATGGCGGTCCCTCTGGGTTGAAGGTGGTGCTGCTGAACGCCAGATCTGTCAACGGAAAAACATCTTTCATCCAAGATATAATTCTGGAGGAGCGGGCAGATCTGGCGTGCATTACGGAGACCTGGTTGGACGAAGCCGGAGGAGTAAATTGACCCAGCTTTGTCCACCAGGCTTCTCCGTACAGTACCAATCGAGACCTGGAGGGCGGGGAGGCAGAGTTGCGGTAGTCTATAAAAATTCTATCCCCCTGACCAGAGGCCCCATCCCGCAGTCAACTAATTTTGAATATGTCTACCTGAGGGTGGGTGACCGGGACAGAATAGGGATTCTGTTAGTGTACCGTCCACCTCGCTGCACTACAGTCTCCCTACCTGAGCTAGCGGGGGTAGTCTCGAGCCTGGTGTTGGAGTCTCAACGGCTTCTTGTGCTGGGAGACTTCAATATCCATGCCGAGGCGACCCTCACAGGAGCGGCTCAGGACTTCATGTCTTCCATGGCAACCATGGGGCTGTCCCAACGGGTATCTGGCCCCACTCACAGCGCTGGACACACATTGGATCTAGTTTTCTGTCAGGGATGGGAGCAGAGTGGCGGTGTTGAGGAGTTATCCATCTCTCCGTTGCCATGGACCGACCACTATCTGGTCAGCTTTAGACTTACTGCACCTCCTAACCTCTGCAGAGGTGGGGGACCCATTAAGTTGGTCCGCCCCAGGAGGCTTATGGATCCGAATGGATTCCTGACGGCTCTTGGGGATTTTCCCGCTTCCTCGGTTGGTGATCCTGTTGATGCCCTGGTGTCTCTCTGGAATGGGGAGATGACTAGGGCAATAGACATGATTGCTCCGGAACGTCCCCTCTCAAGTAGCCGAGCTAAACCAGCCCCTTGGTTCACTGAGGAGCTGGCAGCGATGAAGCGAAGGAAGAGGAGACTAGAGCGCGTGTGGCGCTCGGACCCGAGCGAGTCAAATCGAACACGGTATGTTGCTCTTCTTAGGGCATATGCCGTGGCAATAAAGGCGGCAAAGAAATCTTTCTTTGCGGCCAATATTGCGTCCGCAAAGAACCGTCCGGCTGAGCTGTTTCGAGTTGTCAGAGGTCTATTAAATCCCACCATGTCGGATGGGAACCCTGACAACTCGACGGCCCGCTGTGAAGCATTTGCTCGGTTCTTTGCGGACAAAGTCGCTTTGATCCGTTCTGACCTGGACACCATGTTAACGGCAGTCTCAGAGGATGTAACACGAGCATCTGCTTATCCGATTTTGTTGGATTCATTTCAATTGGTGAAACCTGAGGATGTGGACAAGATACTTGGAGGAATGAGGGCAACCACATGCATCCTAGACCCCTGCCCATCCTGGCTTCTAAAGGAGGCCAGAGGGGGATTGGCCAAGTGGGTGAAGGTGGTGGTTAATGCCTCCCTTCGGGAAGGCAAAATTCCAGCCAGCTTAAAACAAGCTGTGATAAAACCGCTGTTGAAAAAAACATCACTGGATCCCACTCAATTCGTCAACTATCGGCCTGTTTCCAATCTTCCCTTTTTGGGCAAAGTCCTGGAACGTGTGGTGGCCTCACAACTCCAGGTATTCTTGGTAGACACTGATTATCTAGATCCGGCACAGTCTGGTTTCAGGCCGGGACATGGTACCGAGACAGCCTTGGTCGCCTTAGTGGATGATCTGCGCAGGGAGCTAGACAGGGGGAGTGTGTCCCTGTTAGTTCTGCTGGACCTCTCAGCGGCTTTCGATACCGTCGACCACGGTATCCTTCTGAGACGCCTCGCGGGAATGGGCCTTGGTGGCACTGCTCTGCAGTGGCTCAGGTCCTTCCTAGAGGATCGTACTCAGAAGGTGTTGCTGGGGGACAACTGCTCTACCTCACAACCATTGACTTGTGGGGTTCCGCAGGGCTCAATATTGTCCCCCATGTTATTTAACATCTACATGAAGCCGTTGGGAGATATCATCCGGAGTTTCGGGGTGCGGTGTTATCTGTATGCAGATGATGTCCAACTCTGTCACTCCTTCCCACCTACTACTAAGGAGGCTGTTCAGGTCCTGAACCGGTGTTTGGACGCTGTATCGGACTGGATGAGGGCTAACAAATTGAAATTGAATCCAGACAAGACAGAGGCACTCCTGGTCAGTTGAAAGGCCGAACAGGGTATAGGGTTACAGCCTGTGTTGGATGGGGTCACACTCCCCCTGAAGACGCAGGTTCGCAGCTTGGGTGTGATCCTGGATTCATCGCTGAGCCTGGAACCCCAGGTTTCGGCGGTGTCCAGGGGAGCATTTGCACAACTAAAACTTGTGCGCCAGTTGCGCCCGTACCTTGGGAAGTCTGACTTGGCCACGGTAGTCCACGCTCTGGTTACATCCCGGATTGATTACTGCAACGTGCTCTACGTGGGGTTGCCCTTGAAGACTGCCCGGAAGCTTCAGATGGTCCAGCGCTCGGCAGCCAGGTTGCTAACAGGAGCGGCACTCAGGGAGCACACCACTCCTCTGTTGAGCCAGCTCCACTGGCTGCCAATTGCTACCGGGCACAATTCAAGGTGCTGGCTTTAGCCTATAAAGCCCTAAACGGTTCTGGCCCCACTTACCTCTCCGAACGCATCTCCACCTATGAACCGACTAGAACATTAAGATCGTCTGGGGAGGCCCTGCTCTCGATCCCGCCTGCGTCACAGGCGCGCTTGGCGGGGACGAGAGACAGGGCCTTCTCAGTGGTGGCCCCTCGGCTATGGAATGCCTTGCCAGCAGACATCAGACAGGCACCTTCGTTGCTGACGTTTCGGAGAATGGTCAAGACCTGGCTTTACGAACAAGCGTTTGGCTAGGCAATGCAACTAATTAAGGAAGACGGTAATTGAAACATAGGAACGGCACAATGACTATGAGAATGGATCTGACTTCAACTGAGGCGTTATATATGTTGGTTGTTGATTTGTCCTGTCTGATTGTTAATTGTTGTGGAGCGACGTCGTCGACCCTGTTGTTGTATTGTGTTTTAATTGCACTGTAAACCGCATTGAGTCGCCTGTCAAGGGCTGAAAAATGTGGTATAAAAATGAAGCAAATAAATAAATAAATAAATAAACTGTCAACCTTGACAAAATTTTACTGCAGCTGCAGCTGGTAATTAACCTGCTGTACTAAATGGAAGTGATAGGTGTCATTCTATCCACGTGGCAAGCCTGGAGGGAGACCAGATGTCTGCTTCAGAAAGATAAACAGTTAGATATCCAGGCCCTAACTTTCTTATATAGACATCTAGCTCTTTCAGTAAAGTCTTTTGTCACTTTTAAAGCTTGACTGTGCAAATGGGTGAAGCTCATTTGCTCTACTGCTCTGCTCAAGAAGCTTCTGATTTGCTAAAACAGCTGTTGTTGCTGCTTTACTTTGTAAATGCCTTTTCCTTTTTGGAGATTCCTGACCTGACTGCCAGTCCCATCATTCTGGTTTGCTGTGCCCTCCCTTTTCAGGCTGCACCGGGCGACGAGAAACAGAGGCGGAACCGGAGGCGGAAACGAGTGCTGAAGTCCAAAACGTTTGTTGACGAGGAAGGCTGCATGGGTAAGGAGGCAGGCTGGCATCCTCGATCCGAGAAACCTTGGCCTAAACTCCAGGGCAGGCAACCTTGACCTGCCCTTTGTTTTTCCCTGCAAGAGAGGCCATTGTGAACAGCTTGGGTTGGAAAGCATTGGGTTGGTGAATCTCTGTCCATCTTCAACCTCTCATGAATATTTCAGTGTCATGAATATCTTTTCAATAACTTTAAAGCATAGGTTCTTTTTATTGCAGTTTCCAGTGTGAGAGGGTACATCAGATTACATTTATTTGTCGTGTCAGGACAACCAGTCAAATTATATTATATTTCCAACAGAAACAAAGCAAACAAACAGACAAAATACAAAATTTGTGAGTTTGGTAGTTGATTAAATGTCCTTTGACCAGTATCTGGCCCCTTGGAGTGCCTCTGGTGTTGCCGCAAGGAAGTCCTCCCTTGTGCATGTGGCAGGGCTCAGGTTGCATTGCAGCAGGTGGTCTGTAGTTTGCTCTCCTCCACACTCGCATGTTGTGGGTGCCAGAGCCCAGTCTGTTCAGCGCCTTCCAAGTCGCCCAGTCTTCTGTGTGCCCAGGGGGAGTCTCTCATTTGGTATCAGCCATTGGTTGAGGTTCTGGGTTTGATAGCCTGCCACTTTTGGACTCTCGCTTGCTGAGGTGTTCCAGCGACTGTCTCTGTAGATCTTAGAAACTATTTCTTGATTTAAGTCGTTGACGTGCTGGCTGATACCCAAACAGGGATGAGCTGGAGATGTCTCTGCCTTGGTCCTTTCACTATTGGCTGCTACTTCCCGGCGGATGTCAGGTGGGGCAATACCGGCTAAGCAGTGTAATTTCTCCAGTGGTGTGGGGCGCAGACACCCCGTGATAATGCGGCATGTCTCATTAAGAGCCACATCCACTGTTTTAGTGGTGAGATGTGTTCCACACTGGGCATGCATACTCAGCAGCAGAGCAGCACAGCGCAAGGGCAGATGTCTTCACTGTGTCTGGTTGTGATCCCCAGGTTGTGCCAGTCAGCTTTCGTATGATATTGTTTCTAGCGCCCACTTTTTGCTTGATGTTCAGGCAGTGCTTCTTGTAGGTCAGAGCACGGTTCAGAGTGACTCCCAGGTATTTGGGTGCGCTGCAATGCTCCAGTGGGATTCCTTCCCAGGTAATAATCCTCAGAGCTCGGGATGCCTGTCTGTTCTTGAGATGAAAGGCACATGTCTGTGTTTTAGATGGGTTAGGGATCAGCTGGTTTTCCCTGTAATAGGCAGTAAGAGCACCTAGAGCTTCGGAGAGTTTCTGTTCTACCATCTCAAAGCTCCGTGATTGAGCAGTAATGGCACGATCATCAGCATAGATGAAACTCTCTGTCCCTTCTGGCAGTGGCTGGTCATTTGTGTAAATGTTGAACATGGATGGAGCACATGTCTGTGTTTTAGATGGGTTGGGGATCAGCTGGTTTTCCCTGTAATAGGCAGTAAGAGCACCCAGAGCTTCGGAGAGCTTCTGTTCAACCATCTCAAAGCTCCCTGCTTGAGCGGTGATGGCACAATCATCAGCATAGACAAAATTCTCTGTCCCTTCTGGCAGTGGCTGGTCATTTGGGTAGATGTTGAACATGGATGGAGCAAGCACGCTCCCCTGAGGCAGGCCGTTCTTCTGTTTCCGCCATCTGCTTCTCTGGCCCTGGAACTCCACAAAAAAGCTCCTGTTTTGTAGCAGGTTTCATGTCCGAGACCCAGAAATCTTGCTTGTTTGTAGGTAACCAAATACAATCCCGGAGCAGTTGTGTTGTGCCTGTCTCCTTTCACACATGCTGCGATCCTGAATATTAACTTGAGCAGTAGGATTTGTTGATCAGGTAGAACTCTGGGGCCCTTTGTCCTAGGCCGGACCCCTCTACCGTCCTTTTGCAACCTTGGAGGAAGAGAGGAACGGGTCTGCCTGTGTCATGAGTAACCCTCTGTCCATTTGGGCCCATTCGTCATGCGAGCCTCTGGCCCTGGATTTTGTCAAGCGAAGAATAGGTTTGTGAAATTTTGGCTCCTGGAGTTTGGCTAAGTGCTTTTCTGGGAAAGAGATGCGAGAGATGGCCTTTCAGGGCCCTTCCTGGCCTTCCCACCCCCAGCCAACTTCAGTCTCCTCCAAAGCGTATTGCAAGGCCTGCGTCCAAACAGGGCTTACAGTAACGGAGATGAGGAGACACTTCCCTTCTCTTTTGTTTGTTTTTAAGGTCTCTGCTTTCCTAAACATGTCAAGAGTGGAAAGCTTGCCTTCCCCCACATAGAGTTCAGGTGGAACGGTTGGGAAATGCTCACCCGGATTTGCAATCCAGACGCAGCAGGGATTTGTGCACTCACCTCCCCGATGATGCTCTTGGCACATGGTTTGATACTCTGATGTGAAGCGTTTGGAGGGGAGAGGCGACTTGCTCTTTCTTTCCAGGTCAGAGAGCTAAATCTGGCCTCTGCAATATGTTGGAATGTTGTTCTTAATACCACTATTGTTACGTTTCTTCAAATCGACTTTTGCTTCTATGAGGGTTGAATGAAAAGTAATGCCTCCACCTTCGTAACTCCTCAATAGATGGCAGTACTGGTATGCGGCAGGTACTGGCATGTTCAGTAGACTCTCCTCTACAGTTCAGCTTTGACAAGAAGCCTTAGCATTGAATGGTTGTGTTGTTAAAGTGCGAAGTATGGAACCCTGCGCAGAGAGTCGGTCAATGGCGACTTTAGCAATGAAAAGTAATGCCTACACCTTCGTAACTCCTCAATAGATGGCAGTACTGGTATGCGGCAGGTACTGGCATGTTCAGTAGACTCTCCTCTACAGTTCAGCTTTGACTGGAAGCCTTAGCATTGAATGGTTGTGTTGTTAAAGTACAAAGTATGGAACCCTGCGCAGTCAGTCGGTCAATTTGACTTAAGCAATGAAAAGTAATGCCTCCACCTTCATAACCCCTCAATAGATGGCAGTACTGGTATGCGGCAGGTACTGGCTAGTTCAGTAGACCCTCCTCTACAGTTCAGCTTTGACGGGAAGCCTTAGCATTGAGCGATTGTGTTGTTAAAGTGCAAAGTATGGAACCCTGCGCAGACTTTCAGTCAATGTGACTTAAGCAATGTAAAGTAATGCCTCCACCATTGTAACTCCTCAATAAATGGCAGTACTGGTATGCAGAGGGTACTGGCTTGTTCAGTAGACTCTCCTCTATAGTTCGGCTTTGACAGGAAGCCTTAGCATTGAACTGTTGTGTTGTTAAAGTGTGAAGTATGGAACCCTGCGCAGATGTTCGATCAATGTGACTTAAGCAATGAAAAGTAATACCTCCACCTTCGTAACTCCTCAATCATAGAATCATAGAATCAAAGAGTTGGAAGAGACCTCATGGGCCATCCAGTCCAACCCCTGCCAAGAAGCAGGAATATTGCATTCAAATCACCCCTGACAGATGGCCATCCAGCCTCTGCTTAAAAGCTTCCAAAGAAGGAGCCTCCACCACACTCCGGGGCAGAGAGTTCCACTGCTGAACGGCTCTCACAGTCAGGAAGTTCTTCCTAATGTTCAGATGGAATCTCCTCTCTTGTATTTTGAAGCCATTGTTTCGCGTCCTAGTCTCCAAGGAAGCAGAAAACAAGCTTGCTCCCTCCTCCCTGTGGCTTCCTCTCACATATTTATACATGGCTATCATATCTCCTCTCAGCCTTCTCTTCTTCAGGCTAAACATGCCCAGCTCCTTAAGCCGCTCCTCATAGGGCTTGTTCTCCAGACCCTTGATCATTTTAGTCGCCCTCCTCTGGACACATTCCAGCTTGTCAATATCTCTCTTGAATTGTGTTGCCCAGAATTGGACACAATATTCCAGATGTGGTCTAACCAAAGCAGAATAGAGGGGTAGCATTACTTCCTTAGATCTAGACACTATGCTCCTATTGATGCAGGCCAAAATCCCACTGGCTTTTTTTGCCGCCACATCACATTGTTGGCTCATGTTTAACTTGTTGTCCACGAGGACTCCAAGATCTTTTTCACACGTACTGCTCTCGAGCCAGGCATTGTCCCCCATTCTGTATCTTTGCATTTCATTTTTCTGCCAAAGTGGAGTATCTTGCATTTGTCACTGTTGAACTTCATTTTGTTAGTTTTGGCCCATCTCTCTAATCTGTCAAGATCATTTTGAGTCCTGCTCCTGTCCTCTGGACTATTGGCTATCCCTCCCAATTTGGTGTCGTCTGCAAACTTGATGATCCTGCCTTCTAGCCCTTCATCTAAGTCATTAATAAAGATGTTGAACAGGACCGGGCCCAGGACGGAACCCTGCGGCACTCCACTTCTCACTTCTTTCCAAGATGAAGAGGAAGCATTAGTGAGCACTCTCTGTGTTCGTTCACTTAACCAATTACAGATCCACCTCACCGTAGTTTTGCCTAGCCCACATTGGACTAGTTTCCTTGCCAGAAGGTCATGGGGGACCTTGTCGAAGGCCTTACTGAAATCCAGGTACGCTACATCCACGGCATTCCCAGCATCTACCCAGCTTGTAGCTCTATCGAAGAAAGAGATCAGATTAGTCTGGCATGACTTGTTTTTGATAAATCCATGTTGACTATTAGCGATGACTGCATTTGTTTCTAAGTGTTTGCAGACCGCTTCCTTAACAATCTTTTCCAGAATCTTGCCCGGTATCGACGTGAGGCTGACCGGACGGTAGTTGTTTGGGTCATCCTTTTTTCCCTTCTTGAAGATTGGGACCACATTGGCCCTCCTCCAATCTGCTGGAACTTCTCCCGTTCTCCAAGAACTCTCAAAGATGGTTGCCAATGGTTCCGAAATGACTTCCGCTAGTTCCTTCAATACTCTTGGGTGTAGTTGATCTGGCCCTGGGGACTTGAACTCATTAAGAGCGGCCAGGTATTCCTGGACGACTTCTTTCCCAATTTGGGGTTGGATGTCCTCCAATCCCTCATCCACTCCATCTTGCTGAGGTTGAAGACTCTTTTTGTGAGAAGACCGAG